GTACCTAGTATGGAAGCTCGGTAGGGATCAAAATTTAGGACAAGAATCACGAGTGATTTTTGGAGACATTTTGCATCATATCTTTTAAAGTATAAATATTTTGTAATAACATATTGAACATCATTTGTGCAGAACAACGAGATCTTTCAAATGATATCAAGAAAAAAACGCTGACTCATCACATTAGGGGCAGAAAGGGGCCGAAAGTCGTTAATCGATAACTCTTTATCTGTCAATATTTTGTGATATAATACTGAAGCAAAAATGTTTATCTTAACAATCTTCAGCAATATATTATAATTTTTATGACGTATGGTACATAATTAGGGGCCACAAGGGGCCAGAATGCCAAATCTTTGACGCTTTATATCTCGAGAGTAAGAAATATTTTGATAAGTAATATTGAACAAAAGATGTTTAAAATCATGTTCTGAACAATATGCAACCTTTGATTTTTCGCTAAACGTCCCCATTAGGGAGTTGAAAGGTTGGCCCCTAATTATTTCTTTCGCGAATAACTGGAAAACGAAAAAGAATCTCTGAATAGTTGTTGAACAGAAAGTGCCCAAAATCCTAAAAGCTTTAAGATGAAATCAAGAAAAAGGGGCTGGGCACTCAAATTAGGGGCCAAGAGGGGCCAAAGGTCCTCAATCGATAACTCTTTAGCAGTTAATATTTTGTAATACATTACTGAAGCAAAGATGTTGATCTCAGTAATCTACAACTATATATTATGATTTTCATATCGTATGGTACATAATTAGGGGCCATAAGGGGCCAGAACGCTAAATCTTTGACGCTTTATATCTCGAGAATGAGAAATATTTTGACAAGTAATATTGAACAAAAGATGTTCAAAATCATGTTCTGAACAACATGCAAGCTTTCATTTTTCGCTAAACGTCCCCGTTAGGGTGTTGAAGGGTTGGCCCCTAAATATTTCTTTTGCAAATAACTCGAAAACGAAAAAGAATCTCTCGATAGTTTTTGAACAAAAAGTGTTCAAAATCCTGAAAGCTTTAAGAAGAAATCAAGAAAAAAGGACTGGACACTGAAATTAGGGTCCAAGAGGGGCCAAAAATTTTCATTCGATAACTTTTTAGGAGTTAATATTTTGTAATACATTACTGAAGAAAAGATGTTTTCCAACCATTTACAACTATATATTATGATTTTAATGTCGTATGGTATATTCTTAGGGGCCACTAGGGACCCAAAATGCTAAATCTTTGACGCTTTATATTTCAAAAATGGGAAATATTTTGATAAGTAATATTGAACAAAAGATGTTCAAAATAATGTTTTTAACATTATGCAACCTTTCATTCCTCATTGACTTGTTGAATGGCTGGTCCCTAAATATTTCTTTTGCAAATAACTCGAAAACGAAACAAAATCCCTGAATAGTTATTGAACAAAAAGTGTTCAAAATCAAGAGAAGTTGAAGGTACAATCTAGAAAAAAGGGGCTGAACACTCAAATTAAGGGCCGAGAGGGGCCAGAAGTCTTTAATCAATACCTCTTTAGCAAGCGATATTTTGATATACATTACTGAAGCAAAAATGTTTATTTTAACAATCAACAACTATGTATAATTTTTATGTCGAATAGTTCATAATTACGGGCCATAAGGGGCCAAAATGCTAAATGTATGACGCTTTATATCTCAAAAGTGGGAAATATTTTGATAAGTTATGTTGAACAAATGATGTTCAAAATCATGTGCTGAACAATATGCAACCTTTCATCTTTCGCTAAGCGTCCCCATTAAGGAGTTGAAGGGCTGGCCCCTAAATATTTCTTTTGCAAATAACTCGAAAACGAAAAGAATCTCTGATAAGTCTTTGAACAAAAATTTTTCATAATCATAAGAGGATTAAAGTAAAATCTAGAAAAAGTGATTTAAGGACCGAGTCGGGTCAAAAGTCATAAATCGATACCTCTTTAGCAAGCAATATTTTGATATACATTGCGATCATCATTATGATCATTATGATATACACATGTACTTTTAAATTATCATTCCGTACTTTTGATTTCAAGAGTCAAGAGTCAAAGTTATACATAGTAAAATGGCGTATAAAAACAAGGATGGAAATTGGAATGAATGAACAGGAATGCTTGATAAATTGTTTTATACCTCTTCCGTTAGCCGGACATAGCTAGTCCGTTGCCCCCTGCTCACCGCGGGGAGGTGGAAGTAGGATTTTGAGCAGGATATATTAAATTTCCTAAACTATACTCTACATCTATTTTACAAACAAAAAAATATCTTGAAATTCCGCATATTTACATCATTCACATCTCTAAACGGATTATAGTCCAAGTATTGCAAACATAGACAACGTTATTCTGTAAAGGGATCTCCTGTATCAAAGCTTGCAGTTCATTTGCTTATAATGGGCATCTAATGGGTGTCTTTGGGACGTGATGAGAAATTTCAACATTATCTAGACTAAAATAAACGCACGGTTTCAATCTTAACCTCTTTCAAAAATTATATTAAATGATAGCCACACCATGTACGACTTATTGAACTCTTTCCTTGAGAATTTTTCACAACCTATTCAGCATACATGCAACCCTTATTATCAATATCTGGTCTCTACAGTACGTATAATTAATGATTACGTGTAATAAAGGTTTGTCTTACTTAATTTATTCCTTGCGGAATCACTAAAATTCTTACAACATGCTTATATCTCATTTCTTCCACCTGGTGTCTCATTTATGTTTTATATTTCCAATATTCCTTTGCTGAAAAAGACAAAAAAGCTTACAACTGACTTATTTATTTTATATGTTTAACACAGCAAAGTATCTTAAAATTTCAATTTGGTTTGAAATTTATTAAGAATTGCACCATAACGCTGTTATCCGCAATTCTTTCAGGTGATTAAAATTTCACATAAGAAATTCTGTTTCATTTTGGACTAGAGTAACTCAAAAGATAAAATGTGTCCATATTATCCAACATTTGCAAATCATTAAAATCATTGGCGAGCCTTACCAAACAGAAACGCAAAAATAGTTTAATTCAATCGCGGCTGTAAATATACACTATTATACCATTGACGTGATCATCAACTGAACATGTAATCACTAAAACATAATGAAATGTACACACTGTCTTAAAATGATAAACAATCTTTCAAAATTCATCTGTAATTACACAGGAAAAAAGTTATGATGCAAAATTGTGAAATCCTGACGTTCAAGTGGTAACTTTAGTGCTTATCAGCTTTACAGAAACAAAAGATAGATCTATATATCGATACACTATTTACATTGTTAAACAAACTAGATCTATATCATAAGTAACGTTTGTTGTTTGTTCCTCAATTTTACTGAAAAGTAATCCATACTTTTCTGGAATTCCTGAAGAAAGTAACTATAAAAGTTGTTTAATATTAACAAACGTCTTTTTTTTCTTGTGGCTTGTTTTTATGAAAAACCACTCTGGGACATACAACAAAGAACTAACTCTTTTCAGTCTAATATATATACATGTAGTTTCGAATATACACTAAAAACACATACCATTGACTCTAATAATTCTGGATTGCTGCACCATAACGCTGTTATCTGCAATTCTTTCAGGTGATTAAAATTTCACATAAGAAATTCTGTTTCATTTTAGACTAGAGTAACTCAAAAGATAATATGTGTCCATATTATCCAACATTTGCAAATCATTAAAATCATTGGCGAGCCTTACCAAACAGAAACGCAAAAATAGTTTAATTCAATCGCGGCTGTAAATATACACTATTATACCATTGACGTGATCATCTGACTGAACATGTAATCACTAAAACATAATGATATGTACACACTGTCTTAAAATGATAAACAATCTTTCAAAATTCATCTGTAATTACACAGGGAAAACTTCTGATGCAAATTTGTGCAATCCTGACGTTCAAGTGGTAACTTTAGTGCTTATCAGCTTTACAGAAACAAAAGATAGATCTATATATCGATACACTATTTACATTGTTAAACAAACTAGATCTATATGATAAGTAACGTTTGTTGTTTGTTCCTCAATTTTACTGAAAAGTAATCCATACTTTTCTGGAATTCCTGAAGAAAGTAACTATAAAAGTTGTTTAATATTAACAAACGTCTTTTTTTTTTCTTGTGGCTTGTTTTTATGAAAAACCACTCTGGGACATACAACAAAGAACTAACTCTTTTCAGTCTAATATATATACATGTAGTTTCGAATATACACTAAAAACACATACCATTGACTAATAATTCTGGATTGCTGCACCATAACGCTGTTATATGCAATTCTTTCAGGTGATTAAAATTTCACATAAGAAATTCTGTTTCATTTTGGACTAAAGTAACTCAAAAGATAAAACATGTCCAAATTATCCAACATTTGCAAATCATTAAAATCATTGGCCAGCATTACCAAAAAGAAATACAAAAATGGTTTCAATCACGGCTTTATATATACAAAATTAAACCACTGACGTGATCATCATCAACTAAATTAGCAATCACTAAAACATAATAGTATGTACACCCTGTCTTAAAATGATAAGACATTTTTCAAAATTTCATCTGTAATTACACAGGAAAAAAGTTATGATGCAAAATTGTGAAATCCTGACGTTCAAATGGTAACTTTAGTGCTTATCAGAACACAAACAAAACATAGATCTATATATCGATACACTATTTACATTGTTAAACAAACTAGATCTATATGATAAGTAACGTTTGTTGTTTGTTCCTCAATTTTACTGAAAAGTAATCCATACTTTTTTCGAATTCCTGAAGAAAGTAACTATAAAAGTTGTTTAATATTAACAAAGGTCTTTTTTTTTTCTTGTGGCTTGTTTTTATGAAAAACCTCTCTGGGACATACAGCAAAAAACTAACTCTTTCCAGTCTAATATATACATGTAGTTTTGAATATACACTTAAAACACATACCATTGACTCTAATAATTCTGGATTGCTTTTTAAATAAAGCATCGTAATTATTCATCTCGGATTTTCAAAAGTACAGCATCATGATAACTGTAATATGTTGACAAGTGATAAACGTCAACTTCTATGGAACTGGATACATACACATGATCCAAAATTGTTCCCCCCTCTGTGGTGCTAAAGGATACAATTTGTCTGAAGTTCTGATCTTTCATAAACCTCTGAATTGGGCCATTAGTCTTTGCATCCTCATTAAAATCACCTACGATGATACAATCATGTGCATTTGTTTTTAAGTAGTCAAAAACTTTCTGCAGATATTGAAGGAACATTGCTATTTTTGCTGCACATGGGCGATACACAGTCAACAACAAGATATTTCCTCTCGCTAATTTTACAGCTATTCCTTCAATATTCATTTTGCTTAGTGGTAGAACATCATATGAATCTTTCTTGTCTTTCAAATACAGTCCGACACCTCCACCTTTTGTCATTTGTACACTCTGTCTCATTGTAGTACTTTCTTCATATGCTTCGCTTCTTGGAAGATGATGAAATTGAAACCCTTCCAATGCAAAATTCCCCGTGTTTTCCTCAAATCTTAACCATGTCTCTGTTAAGCAAATAATATCAGCCTTATGGAATCTGGTATCATTCTTCAGATCTCCAAAATGGCCACCTAAGCTCTGTATATTATGCAGAACTATGTTCTTTCCAGCAGAGAGTAAAGGCATTGCAATCTCATCAAAACTTGCTTTAGGCATTTCTTTTAATGCTGCTTTGACCTCTGGATCAGCATAAACATTTTTCTGAAGTCGAGCTGGATCCTCTGTATCAATAAAAAGGCCGACCTTTGAAGTAACCCTTGACAGTGCAACATACGCTTGACCTGGGGCAAATGCTTTATCTAAGTTCACTACAACTTTGTCTGTTGTCATTCCCTGCACCTTATGAGCCGTGCACGCCCAAGATAGTCGAATTGGAAACTGATGTCGAACCACTGTAGTAGCCTTGTCCTTTATCTCTTCTTGCACTCGTTCAATGAACACTATGTTTTTGCCCCTTGTATATTGCCCTGTCTTTTTTCCAACTTCCTTATTATCAAAAACCACTCCTATTGCTCTGACAATTCCTTCACCTTTTTCTTCAAATGAAAACTGACAGATATGTCCCATTACTCCATTCACAAGTCCATCCTCTACATTGCAATTTCTCGTAAGCATTACCCTTGCATGGACTGACAATAGGAGAGAGCTTGGAAGGCCATCACTTCTTGATCTTGTCATAGGTTTGTTTCTCGGTACTAATTTACCGGATGTTTTGTCCTTTCTAAAGTCCTGAGCATCAATTTCCAGTAGATCTTCACATGATCTTTTTAACATTGACAGGTTATATGTGTTAACTTCATCGTTAGTAGAAAACACATGAAGAACGTCTTCTGGTCCTTCCCTGATACAGTCTTTTAGGAAATTCCTTTGCTGTTGTGTCAGTTCTTCAGCTCTCTCTCTTACACGAAAAGAATTAAGAATCCCAGCAAAGGACAAATCTCCTCTTTGTCTCATTATCTCTTTTAACTCAATGACTTTAAATAAGTCAAGCCAGTAATCCATTGGATAACTAAGATTTTCTTTGTAAAGCCTTTCATCTTTTCTCTGCTTTACAGGAGGCAGCTGGTAAAAGTCCCCAACAGCAATAACACAAACTCCACCAAAGGGCTCCTTGCATTTCTTAATCTGCACTAGTCTTTCGTGTATGTAGTACAAAAGTCTTTTGTATACCATTGATATTTCATCAATGATAAGAATGTGAAGATCCCCTATCTTTACTCTCAATTCGCTGAGGCTTTGTTCACCAAGAGGTTCATATGGTAAAGGCAGATATTTTGTTAGGGAAAATAAGTGGTGCAGTGTATTTCCGCCAATGTTGAAAGCCGCTGTTCCAGTGAATGCTGAGAGAAGAACTGATAGTCTATCTGGTTCTGACATTATTCGTGAAAGCAAACGCGATGCTTCATACTGAATGGCTTTTATAAGATGACTTTTACCAGTTCCTGCTCCACCAGTTACAAATAAATGAAAGGGTTCACATTTCTCCCCTGCAATCTTTGCTAAACACCATTTGCGGACCAAATAAAATACATCACTCTGTGTCTCATTCAAATTCTGAAGAACAGGTAACATTTCTTCTCTTGAGATAACATGTTGTTGAACATGATACATGACATCTGCATTATGTGTCTCGCTTTCAATCTCTGGTATAATATCGGTACTATCCTCCTCTGGCACTGTGTTCTCCTTTCTCTGTGCTATTCCTTCCCTTCTGAGAACCTCTGTCTCTGGACATATCCTCGACCATGCATCTTCCGGTTCACCATGCATCTCATACGCATCCTGAGCGCTGTCAATCATCTCTTCATTTTTTGCATATTGTGACTGATTTGATTCCACTATTGACTTCACTGATTGCTTTCGTTTTCCACTGGAAATTTTCACATAACCAGTTTTATAAAAATCTTCATATAATTCAAACCCTGGTGGTTTCAACTGTGCTTCTGTCCAGTAGGGAAGAAAAAGTTGCAATCGAGATTGATAATATTTCTCAGACATTTTTTCAACACTGAACCTAGGATATCTAACAACAGCAGGTTGAGTTCTTGTTCTTCGTTGTACGTAACCCTTCCCATTCTGTAATTCAAACACATTTTGATTCTCGTTCTGAGGAACTTGAGATTTTGCTAGCACTCTGAATTCAGAACAAAATTCTGCAAGGCACATTTCATGGAAGACTGGCTTATCTGGTCTGTTCATGTAACGTTCAATTATGTTTGTCATCCATACTTCATTCTCTTCATCTTCTTCTTCATCGGTAATTTCTACATCCTTTGATGCTTTTTTCTTCAGCACAGATAGTGGCTTACTTAAGCGCACTGGGTTGTCACCGACAGGCACAAATACAACCTTCCTAGAACATTCTTTCATTCTCAAGTTACATACTCTGTATACAGCTTCCTGAGCACTAACTTCCCTGTGATGCAAGTAAGCTGATCCAATTTTCTTCATAGTTTTCCTGGCATCAACATTTCCTTCTTCTGCCTCCAACTTTGTTTGTTTTAATAGCATGCCCATTTCCCTCTCTGACTTTGATATATAGGAAATAATATAAACAATACAACTGAAAGGGTCAAGAACAAACTGTATGTCCATATTAGCATCCCAAGATTTTAACAAACATCTATTGTATTGGTTTGTCCACACCTCATTTGGGCAGCGTTCAAGTATAATTGATCTTTTTGCCGACAACATGTTATGGGCCTCTTCGTACAGTTCCTGGGTTAATGAAAGATCATCAAATAATTCTTCTGTTGTTATATTTCTATCCCCTTCATTGTGAACTCTTTCCCAAACACTGAATAATATTTCCTTCGCATATGCCTTGTTTAGCTTTGCCTCTTTTTCACACTCATCTGTGGTTTCCTCCTCTTGACTGCTTGTAATGAAAGTCTTTTGAGATGGAGGCCTTGGGAAATTAAATCTACATTCTGTTCCCTTCTTTTTACAAGATTTTGAATGTTTCTTGCTGTGTTGTTGTACTTCTAAAACACTTTTCCTCAATTCAGAATCATCACTTTCTGATGGCACAGCACATGTTACATATCTGTCAATAAAACTGCATACAACTTCCTCACCATCAGAATCAATGTTTGGTGCATTTTCAATCCAATATAAGCAATGCATATGTGGAGATCCTCTCTGCTGGAACTCAACTCTTTGAAAAAAGTCTGCTACCTTTCCTATTGGTTCTGCAGGAGAAAGTATGACTTCCTTATGAAATATTTGAAATCTGTGCTCAAACATTCTAGCCACAGTGACTGGATTGCACCTTAGAATTTCATTCTTTTCCGACCATTCCATTTCCTCGGGATTTCTGTTATCGTTCTGCTGTTGTAGTATTGCTGTAACAGCATCATTCCATCTGTACTCTGCTGCAGAGAACGAGCAAAACCAAGTGGGAATTCCTAATTGCCGTAGCATAGCAAAGAGGTCTTTCTGAGCCGTTGCCCAATAAGCCGGTGTTCCTCTTATTGGCTGCATAAATCTAATAGCATCATCATTCCTCAGCAAGCCCGAGAGAGTAATTGGATCTTGCAGCATATTTACTGTAACTGGTTTCCCATTGGTCCATTTTGATAAGGATTTTCTAAGTGAAATTTGAGTTTTTTCAATCACTTGATTCAGTTCGGACATGTACTGGCTAAAGAAGATGTAATTAGTGTCCTTTGCAAATCTGTCATCTGCATTCATTAGCCTATTATTGAAATATCTGGAAAGAGTTAACTTTTCTGACCGTTCTTCGCTCCAAGAGAAACGACCACTTGGAAAATGACATGGAAATGCCTTAGCTTCATTGCCAGGTTCCTGTAACATTCGAATTGGGTTTTTCCCTTCACCTGGTGCAATGTTGTACACATCATCAAAATAATGGTCTAAAACCTCCTGTGCAACATCTACAGGTTGTAAACATGTGTCAAATGCAACCATTTCCTCTGTGATTTCCGCATTATTCCTTGTCTCAACGTTCTCTTCCGTCATTTCTTCATGAATTGTTAAATCCTCTTCCAGAGATGATTCAATTTTTATATCCTCATACCAATGATTATGTTCTTTTAAGTATGATAAAGCTGACATGATATGACCTGTATTGACAAACTGATACTCAAAGTATCCTTTGTAATTCAACTTCCTTTTCAATTTCACACGCAACAACAAGTTTTCATCATGTTTCATTGGTAAACTGACAGTTTTCCTCATATCTGAAGGTACACAAATAACAGGACCATGTACATTTTTTTGTCCACCATGAGGAAGAGCCATTACTTTCATAAATGGGATGTGCATTGCAATTAAATGCTGTTCCAAACTGTTCAAGTTAGTCAATTCAGAAGGAATATCCTCCAGAATCATGCCGTTGACTGCAGCTTCTGCAGGTGCTTTGCCACTCATTATTTTCCGATGACAAGTGTAACAAATCCATAATGATGATTTAGTACACGATTCTGGGCAAGATTCAGAGCATTCATGCAAATACTTATCTAGCAAACAAATCTCTGAGATAGTTTTTGCTGACTCACTTTTATGATACATCTGATGTTCACATGCTTGAACCTGATTCTGAAAGAAAAGCCTGTGGCAACATGTACAAACATAATTTGGACCTTCCTTGGCTTTTCCCTTAAATAATCGGATAATTTCCTCTTCCTGTTTCACGTTCATTTGTTTCAATCTCCTTTTCTGTCTAACTTCTTCTTTTTTCCTCCTTCTAACTTCAGCAGATGATTGGTAACTAGCCTTACCACTTTCCTTCGCTTTAGACTGATATTCTGTATCAGCGTGATACCTCCTTGTAGCTCTTTTTCGCATGTTTGTTCTAAAGGTCTCACTTGTATTATATTTACGTACAAAGGCGGCTTTACTTTTCGCTCTGTAAGATTCATTTTCTTCGTATCTTTTTGACACCCTCTGCTTTACAGTAATCCTGTGCTCCAAATCAGTTTTGTACTTTTCACTGCTTCTTCTTTTAACGCTTTGCTGATGCTCCAAGTTTGTCTTGTACTTCTCGATGCTTGCTTTCTTCACACTTTGCTGATGCTCCAAGTTTGTCTTGTACTTCTTAATGCTTGCTGTCTTCAGATTTTGCTGATGTTCTAAGTCTTTTTTGTACTTTTCAATGCTTGCTTTCTTAACACTTTCCTTATGTTCAAAGTCTATCTTGTACTTCTCTGTACTCTTTCCTTTCACCTGTTCTCTGTGCTCAGAATCCAACTTATATTTCTCAACACTCATTCTTTTCTTTCCCTCTTTATACTTCAAGTCTTTGGAGTACTTCATTTTACTTCTTCTTTTACTTGCCATTTGCACTGAAGGTGAAGCACGATATCGTTCTCTGTTCCTTATCTGTTCTTTCAACCTGAAGTCTGCATATGAGTACATATCTTTCTTCTGCTCCGACATTTTCTTTCGGTACTTTACATTTTCCCTGCATCTTTTTCTAAATGCATCTTTGCTATTTTCCTTCAAGTCTCCTATCTTCAATTTCAGACTTTTTCGTTCCTCCCTCATTCGAATTTTATTTTTTCTGCGATGGCTATATTCTCCTTTAAGAAACGAATGTTGGGTGACACATTCCTTTTCATGTGGCCTTGCTAAAACACTTAAAACAACATCATAATGGTTCTGCTGTCTGTGGTATAAATAAATAGCTTCCTTCTGTTCAGCTGATTCAAGGTTCGGACCTTTCCCACTAAACTGAAGCCATTTCATATCTGAATAAGTATAAATGTCAACATTCAACATATGTGACATAGCAAGAATCTCCAATTCAGTGGCCCATACACCAATTTCAGACATTTTAGACTGAAGTAAATACGACCGTAAAGATCCTTCTGACCTCATAAACTGTTGAAACATTGCTTCATGGTTCAAGAGATGCTCACAAACAGCTTCACGAATATGACGATGATGGTTCTCAGAGTTTGTCAGGCTGAATGATACTGCTCTAAAAAAGCAATTACCATCTTGCTCAATTTCTTTACAGCCTCTGGGTTTATCCATATCTTTAACAGATGCAGCATGGTATTCATGTGTAGAGACATGATATGGCACTCCCAACAATTTGCACAAATCTTTTTGTTTTTCTACTGATAAAGGAATAAAATCATGCCGTTGGAATTCCTCACCCATAAAAATCACATCATTCGCCTGTAATATTTCTGACTGATCTGACAATGACCTGCCTTGCTCTGAACCTTTTAACCCTTCAAGATATCTCCCACTTTCTTTAACCTTTGACTGATTTGATGTCGAGAGACCTTGTCTTGAACCTTTGTTTCCCTCTGAATATTCAGATCCTTTAACCTCATAAACTACTGCAGTGGCAAAATGTTTAAGTGAACACAACACCCCAGTTAATTCACAAGCAACAGTTTGTGAAAAGCCCATAGAAATAGCAAGTGACCTAAGATGCAGGTAGACATCCTGAACATCCTTCAATAAAATTCTTGTACTCTTCCCTCGAACACTAAGATATCCACGGGAGCATCGTGCATGTGAATCAAATGAGAAAAACCCATCATTAGTCTTCCCTATTAAAAGGGTATTCCCTCCAAAACACACAAAGCATCCGTTTGTTTCAGTAAGTGCTACCTGCAGAGCTTCAAAAAGAGGATAGGCATTAAAATCTTCATAACATGGCTCCTCTGCTGACAAACTGATTAAACTTGGTACCGAGACCTTCACTGTAAAGTCAAATGTGTTGCTAAAGCATTCAAAATACTGCGGTAACTCTTCCACTAACAAATATCTACTTGTAATTGAAGTACAGTTCTGCAGGTATGTGTAAAGTTCATCTCCATTCACTAATACTTTGTTGACATCAGCTGTTTGCCAGATTTTTGCACTTTTCAGAAGATTATAAGCTAAACCTGATAAACAATTTGCCACACATTGAGTTCCTGCAGTGTCACCAAACATAGGATCAGCTTGATGGAAAGACCCCTGAACAGACACACAATACACATTTGTTGTATTCATGTATGTATTTTCCTCATCAACACAATCCTGCCTATTAAAACTGTCTCTCTGAGCACTATTTACATTCACATTTTCTGCATTCTGACTACCACAGTTTTCTTCCTCACCATCTCTCCTCCTAAAAAAAGGTCTCTCATTTGTTTCTAGAATATCTCCCTTACCATCAGTTTCATCTTCTGAGTCTCTGACATTTTCTATGATATCTAAATCATCTCTGAAATCCATCATACTTTCTACAGTCTCCAATATATCTCTCTCTTTGTTTTTACTTTCTATAATATCATGTTTTTCGTTCAGTATTCCTTTGTTATTACTTTCAGTTTCCGTTTTAGTATTCGTTAAAGTTCCTTCATCTTTTGATATTCTACTGGTCTCCTCCATCCTGGAGGTATCCAGCTGCGCCTGTCCTGCTGGATCAGACATTTGCACTATGTCCGATCCAGGTGCCCTCGGTGGAGCACAAACCCACGGTGGGGAGTCAGTGGACGGTGCCTTGCCCTCGTCATGGACAAACAGACGACTTCCCCGAGGAGGTGACAACCTCGGGGCAGGTGAATGCATTCTCACACGAGGTGAGGCCTGCATCCTGGCCAGGGGTTTTTCCTCTTTAGGTGGAAACCCCATCGAACCAAGCCCTGGAAAATTACCAGGAGGAGCTGAATCAGCTCCATCCACTGTCCCGCAAGGAACAGCAGATTCTTGTGGCGTCAAATGCGAGTCTTTGTCTGGCAGAATTCCTGCAGCTTTTTGTCTCTTTTCTCTCTTCCTCAACTTATCAGCTAGTAATCGCTGTCTTGCAGACATTCCCTTCTTTCTCTTTGCCATCTAAAAAAAAGAAGATGGCCTATGGGCCACATTGCTCACCTCACAAACATTGGCGATGCCCTTTTTCCCCCCAGATTACCATCTTGTAAAACCTACTGTGGCCTCGTTCTACCCCCCCTTCCTTTCGGAGGAGGAAGGGGTAAAAATTTTGACAATTTTGAATCTACACTAACCCAGGATGCTTCTATATATGTATCAGTTTTTCTTGCCCAATGGTTTTTGAGAAAATTATTTTTAAAGTTTCTTTCCATATTTTTCTATATAAAACTTTTATTCCCTATTGTGGCCCCACCTAACCCCCAGGTTAGATCTACATTAACCCTCGATGCTACATATAAGTTTCAGCACTTCCAGCCCAATGGTTCTTGATAAGAAGTTTTTTTTTTTTAATTCTATATTTCATGTAAAATTTTGATTTCCTATTGTAGCCCTTCCTTACCCTTGGGGCTCATGATTTGAATAATTTAGAATCTACACTACCTCAGGATGCTTCCATATAAGTTTCAGCTTTTCAAGAATTTTTCTCTCATAGAGAGACTTCACAGTATGCCAATGAAGGGCTTCAAATTTTAACCTTAACTTGGCACTCAGGGCCATTAAGCAATGAGGGATCTTGATCGTGCAAATTCCTATTGCTGACACAGGGCCTAAGTTTTTAAGGTCTCATCCGAACCAGTTTCTGAGAAGATTTTTTATTGTCCCTAAATTTTTCCAATATATTTCTATGTAAAACTTTGATTCCCCATTGTGGTCCTGCCCAACCCCTCAGGGTCATGATTTGAACAAGGTAAAATCAAAACTGTCCCAGGATGCTTTCACATAAGTTTCAGTATTTCAAGCCCAATGGTTCTTGAGAAGAAGATTTTCAAAAATCATTTTTTATATATTTCTATATAAAATCCTGATTCCCCACTGTAGCCCCAACCTTCCCGAACACATCATAATTTGAAAAATTTAGAATCTACACTACCCCAGGACACTTCAACGTAAGTTTCAGCTAAGTTTTCTGGCCCACTACTTCTTGAGAAGAAAATTTTTAAAGATTTTTCCTATATATTTCTATGTAAAACTTTGACTCCCCATTGTGGCCCCGCTTAAACCCCAGGGGTCATGATTTTAACAATTTAGAATTTACACAATTCCAGGATGCTTCCACCAAGTTTCAGCTTTTCTGGCCCAGTGGTTCTTGAGAAGAAGATTTTTTAATGACCCCATCCTATTTTTGTCTATTCTGGATTATATCACCTTGTGAGGGGACTTGGCCCTTCATTTTAAAAATTTTAATTTTTCTTCACCCAGGGATGCTTTCTACCAACTTTAGTCAAAATCAGCCTAGTGGTTCTTGAGAAGAATTCGAAAATATGAAAAGTTTACGGACAGACAGACAGCTAGACAGACAATGGACAGAGGGATGACAGACAAAATGTGATCAGAAAAGCTCACTTGAGCCTTCAGCTCAGGTGAGCTAAAAAAAATGTAAACAATGGTAATGCAAGATAACCAGCACGAACACCGTTGACATTTCACGACAATACCCGTGACAATAAAGCGGTCAGGAGTTACGAATGCGACCAGTATACCAAATTGTTGATGTATCATAGAAATTGATATCGAAAATGGCGTTTGCCTATTTGGACAAGTCATGTTCAGCTTTAAGAAAATTTTCAAAGATTTTTCCTCGATTTCCTCGACTTTGATTTACCATTGTGGCCCCAGTCCACCCCAAGGGTCATGGCTTGTACAATTCAGAATTCTACACTACCACAGAATGCTTCCACATGACTTTCAGCTTTTCTGGTCAGGTACTTCTTGAGAAGATTTTCAAAGATTTTTCCTATATATTTCTATGTAAAACTTTGATTCTCCATTGTGACCCCACCTAAACCCTAGGGGTCATGATTTTCATATTACGACTTATATATCATGTGTATTGCAACAGCATTTCACATGACGATATACATTAACAAGAGGCCCAAGGGCCTTGAATCTCTCTTCTGATAAATTGTACAATCAATCACTTCTATTTGAAGCCTCTAGCTAACCCTAAGTATCGTAAGACCCAACTTGCATCAATTGACAAAGTTTGATGATTTTTAGCCAATTAGGACTGAAGATATTTTAATAAAGCTATACAAAAAAACATAAGTAGGTCACATTACCTACTTCAAGATTGAAGTTTTCTGAGGATGAAAGATGCATTAATAGACAAAGATTGAAGATTCTAAAGCCAATAAGTATCTGATATATTTAAATAGGTCACTGTGACTGACGTTTTTGTCAAAACTCTCTGAAAATCCAATATGCATCAACTGACAAAGTTTGATGATACAATGCCAATAAGTACTCGAAATAGCCATAAAATGTCAAAAGTACGTCATTGTGACCTAATTTTTAGTAGATGATTTTTGAAAACTCAAGATACATCAACTGACAAAGTTTGATGATTCTAAGCCAATAAGAACCTGAGATATTCAAAAGTAGATCAATGTGAACTACTTTTTGATCGACATTCTTTGAAAACCCAAGATGCATAAACAATCAAAGTTTGATGAATTAAAACCAAAAAATACCAGAGATACTTAAATAAAGCCATAATATGTCAAAAGTAGGTTGAAAACCTCAGGTTAATCAACTAATAAAGTTTGATAATTGTAAGCCAATAAGTATCTGAGATATTTAAAAGTAGGTCACCATGACCTACTTTTTGGTCGTCACTCTCTGAAAACCCAAGATGCATCAATTCACAAAGTCTGATGATTCTAAACCAATAAATACCAGAGACACTCAAATAAACCCATAAAATGTCAAAAGTAGGTCACGGTGACCGACTATTTGGACTTCATTCTCCAAAAACCCAAAATGCATCAACTAACCAAGTTTGATGACTCTAAGCCAATAAGAACCGGAAATGCTTAAATAAAGCCATAAATTGTCAAAAGTAGGTCAATGTGACCTACTTTTTGGTGGTCACTTTACGAAAACCCAAGATGCATAAAATCACAAAGTTTGATCATTCTAAGCCAATAAATACCCAAAATACTTAAAAAAGCCATAAATTGTCAAAGTAGTTCACTGTGACCTACTTTTTAGACGTCATTCTCGGAAAACCCAAGATGCATCAAATGACAAAGTTTGATGATTCTAAGCAAATAAGTACTGAAGATATTTAAATAAAGGCATACATTTTCAAAAGTAGGTCACCGTGACCTACTTTTTGAGGGTCACTCTTCAAAAACCCAAGATGCATCAATTCACAAAGTTTGATGATTCTAAGCCAACTAATACCCAAGATACTTAAAGTCATCTACGCTATATGAACGCCGAATTTTGTGTGAATCAAAATGATTAATGATTTAAAACACATGAAGTGTAATGAAAAATACTACTTTCCACAAAATTGTACTATGGATGTCGTTGTAATAACAAAACAGTTAAACATATCTAGGAATTAAGAATTCAGTCTTTTCATGAATTAATTGATGAAGGAAGTGCGTAAACAGTACTCCTATATGTAGAAACACATGTCCACGGGAAATCACAGACAACGACGTATGTTGCATTTTGACAACAATTATCAATATAAGGTCAATGTGCGTCATAACAGAAAAGATGGTTGATACTGAATACATTAAAAGATAAGTACCAATAAGAATAAAATTCTTGCCATCCACGTTAAAAGTGAGTAATATCTCAAACGGCCTACCTTGTTTTCTTTACGCCACGTGTGTTTATCAAACTAAAAGTAGCCACAACGTCACGTGATGGATCTATTTAAAAATAGCTATTTTTCTTTCCTTGCAGGATAATAAATAATTATAATTTGATAACTTTGTAACGCGTTTAATTTTAATGGTGTAATTTACAGTATTTTCGTAACTTTTATTGATAAACAAATCATATCAATTTCCAATCGTATTTTAACTGGCGCAAGTTATAGCGTGTATACTTTTAAACATAGCCATTGAATGTCAAAAGTAGGTCATCATGACCTACATTTTGGTCAACGTTTTTTGAAGTACCAAGATGCATCTACTGACTAAGTTTGATGATCCTAGGTCTCAAAATATGCCTTTATAACAATTAGAAAACAAATGCGGGCAAAGTTCAAAAAGTAGGCCACAGCAATCTAATTGAAATAAGATGTTAGATCCGCTCGCATACTCGCTACACTAACATCTAACAACATCCCATTGAGGGTCACGTCAAAGGTCAAATTCGGAACCGTTCTAGACTTATTCGCTTCAACAATATTTGATGATTTCGCAGGCGACAATTTCATTGGTTGATAGAATTTGACCTCTGACATGACCCTCAATGGGATTTTGTTAGATGTTAGTGTAGCGAGTATGCGAGCGGATCTAAAATCTAATTTTAATTAGATTGAGGCCACAGTGACTTACTTTTTCAAAAACATTTTTTAAGGTTTCAAGATACATGAACTTACAAGATTTGATGATTCTAAACCTCTCAGTGTCTGAAATAATGGGATTAAATGTTTAAGAAAAGTTTTAGTCATCAAGTTCTAAAAGTAGGTCAAGGTGACCTACTTTTAAGTTGACCTTGTTCAAGGACCCAAGATGCATCAACTGACAAAGTTTGATGATCATAGGCCTTGAAGTGTCGAAAAATATGCCTTCAATTCAATGTGAAAACAAATGTGCGCAAAATTTATAAAGTAGGTCATTATGACCTACTTTTGATTTTACAGGATGTGAAGTCTAAAGATGTATCAACTTAAAACATTTGATAATCCTAGTCTTTATAGTAAGCAAAATATAAATATTTTCATTAATTGTAAATTTAGGTCAACTCTGAAGTGACCACAAGACCATGCCATTTGCTCCAGGGTCATGCCTTGAACAATTTTTAATCTTCAACATATCCCAACCCTTGTATGTGAGTTTGGTGAAAATCTGTCTAGTGGTTCTGGAGGAGGAGATTTTTTAGCATCCAGTACTTTGAGTTCTGTTTTTCGGATTATCTACCCTTGTTTAAAGGTC